AAAGTTAAATGGACCCAAAACACTAAAAAGAAGTTCTTACATTTCTGGGCTTTAAAACTCAGTTCTTTTTTTCTTTTGTTTTGTTTGCTGCCCTTGAACTCTACGTAGCTCATGCTGGCCTCAAACTCATGGCAAACCTCCTGCTCAGCCTCCCAAGTGCTAGGATTATAGGTGTGCACTACCAAGCCCAGCAAAACTATCAAATATTTTTTTAGAACATCTTAACTGCAGGTTTCATTTCAGGGTTAAGAGTTTTTTTTTTTTAAATGACAAAGTTTTGTTTCTGAAAATCTTTGTAACATTTAAACCTCATAAGATAGCTATGAATTTCTTAATGAACTTCAAGGTACTATAAACAAAGTATATTTTAAGGACTATAGTGATCTTCATTCATTTTCATTGCACCCAATATTGGTATTTAATTTTTTTTTTCTTTCGGTAAAATGCCATACAACCACATGTATATAAATTTCCCAATAAGTGTTTCCTTTCTGGGTAAATGTCTAAGAGAAGCAAAAACAGAGAATCAAAGAGATAATCTGTACAACTATGTTCATAGCAGTATTATTCAAAATAGCCAAAAGATGGAAGCAACTCAAATGTCTTCTGACACATGAACAGATCAAACAATTTTATACAATGGTACCTAGGTGAATGAACTTAATACTTTTGATGATTCTGGTTGCAAACAGATTTGGATGAGAACTAAATTCAATAATTAGGTTTAATGTTGACCGTAATGAGAAATTTAATTCAGTTCTTGTCCCATTTGGTTTGCTATTAGAATTGTGGAAAGAATTAAATTTGTGAACCAAAGCACAGCTATTTATCTCTATCTATCTATCTATCTATCTATCTATCTATCTATCTATCTATCTATCTATATATTTCAGCCTAAAAAAGGACATTCTGACAGACAAATGTCACAACATCGATGAGCTTTTAAGACATTATGTTCAACAAAATATGCCAGTCACAAAAAGTATGCTGTATGATCTCCCTTGTGAGGTTCCTGAGAGTCAAACTCTTTGACACAGAAAATGGAACAATGGTTGCCAGGGGCTGCAGGCAGGGGAGAAAGGGCAGTGGGTACAGAGTTTCCATTAGGGAGCCTGAAAGAGTTCTGTCACTGGGTGGTGGTGATGGCTGCAGAAGTGTACAAATGTATACTTGATGCTACACGCTGTGGTCTCATGCTCTCTTAAAGTTCAAGGGTAGAAACTTAATCTGAATTGCGGTACTAAGAAAGAGCCACCGGAGAAGTGATTAAGTCCTGAGAGCTGTACCCTCACGAATGGAAAAGTCCTTCTGAAAGGCTCGAACAAGGCAGCTTAGGCCCTTTTGCCCTTCCACAATGTGAACATGTGAACACCCTTCTCCCATTCCTCCACTTGAGAATATGGAAGAAGGCCCCTTCCAGACATTGTGTGCCAGAGCTTTGCTTTTGGATTTCTCAGCCTCTAAAACTATGAAAAATACATTTCTGGTGTTTACTTTTTTTTTTTTTTTTTTTTTTTTTTTTTTTGCTTGACACACTCACTACGTAGTTCAGGCTGGTTTGTATGACAAGGTCTCTCACTAGGTAGTTCAGGCTGGTCTCGATCTCACTGTGTAACCCAGGATGGCCTTGAACTCCTAGAGATGCTCCTGCTCCAGATTTATGCTTTCCCTTATACTTTCTGAGCTTCAGCTTTTTCATCTCTCACTTTTCTTTTCTCATTTCATTTCATTAATTTCCTACAATAGTTTGTCATGAAGATTCAAATGAGAATGTATGTACATGTGAAAAAATGCCTGGAACAATAGCAAGTACTATGTAACTTATTAGTTTTTGTTTTTTTGTTTGTTTTTTGACACAGGGTCTCACTATGTAGTTGAAAGTGACCTGGAACTCACTATGTAGCTCAGGCTGGTCTCGAACTCACAGCGATCCTCCTGCCTCAGCCTCCTGAGTGCTGGCATTACAGGCATGTGCTGCCACTCCCGGCTATGTAACTTATTAGTAATAAATAACAGGGTCCCACTATGTAGTTCAGACTGGCCTTGAACTCACTATGTAGCCTAGGCTGGCATCAAATTTATTGCAGTCCCCAGCATGAGCACTGGGATTATACATGTGTGCCTCCACACCTGGCAAAATAAATTTTGTTTTTTGAGATAGCGTCTCACTATGTAATTTAGGCTGGCCTTGAACTCTTGGCAATTCTCCTGCCCCAGCCTCCCAAGTTCTGGGATTACAGGCATGTCTCATCACTATATCATTTTAAAATCAGATTGGAAACATGGATAACAGAACATATATGACATCATTCTCCAAGTTGTAAGATTAACTAGTTTGAATTTTTCTCTCATCTTTTTCAGCTTTTCAGATCTTGTTAGACTGCCAATTTTCTCCCCAATACCTATTCTTCTATTCTTCCTTTTAGTAATAGAACTCTGAGTTTTTGCTGGACGCATGATGATTACCTAGCTACCTTTTCCAGCCTTATATTTATTTGTGGCCATGTGACACTTAGTGGAACAATGAAGATCGAGTAAAATGATGAGTGAAATTTGGAGGTCATCAGAACTTGCCCTGATGGCTGTGAACTGACGATAACAGTGGCCCTGGAAGTCACATACTGAGAATGGCTAAGCTGTCCTCCAGCTCAGAACTACTCATTTCTCAAGTGCTAGTTCCAAGAGAAACCTTTTAAACAGGTGTGGTAAAATACACAACCTAATGGTTAAATTAGTATAAAATTCAGTGGCACTGATTATATTCACATTGTTTCACAACCATTACCACTGTGTTTCCAGCCAAAACTTTTTTATGACCCCAAGCAGAAACTCTAATCATTACCAGTAACTCCTCAGGTTCCCCTAGCTCCATTCCCTGATAACTTCTAGCCTACTTTCTGAAAAGAAATAACTTTTTATCTTGAGTCACTGTGCTTCTGCATGACTTGTAAATTGCTTAGCCCTTACCCTAACATATGGAGATTGACAGAAGAAATAAGATGCTGCTATTACAAAAGTGAAAATGGCAAGCAGAATAGAATGTAAGAACATAAAGGCTGCAGGCTGGGAAGCTGCTGATGCTTATTATACCATGGAGAACATGTATCAAAGCTGTTGTTATACTAAGAAGACAGGCCACACACCTACCAAGGTGTAGCTCTAGAGGAGCTATTTGGGAAAACTATTTTTGTTGGCATGTGTCTGTTTGGGTGTTGATTTTCAACAAGATAACATGAGTTCATGTGAAAACCGGCCAGTTTGCAAAGATGGGAGGAAAAGAATTCTGCTGAGGGAGATTGTGCCTGTGGCCTACAATCTGGGGCTTCAAATGGTTGAAAACTCATAGTTCTGTCTTCCTAACATTAGGAGAAAAGATGTCTTTCTGAGTTAGTAAGCCATACAGACTAGTTTGAAAGCACTGCCTTTCTCTGCAGGCCTACCTTTTCAAAGAAATGAAAAGCAGACTCCATTAAACTAAGAAAGAGTAGAATGGTAAAATACAGAAGTCAGTATGTGAGACAAGACAGTTTAAGAACTATGACCGAAAGGAATATTTGGGTGTGATTATTTTAACATGCATCTGACTAGAAACAAAGAGACAAAAAACTATGTACCCCAGGCTGGCCCTGAATTTGTGGCACTCTTCCTGCCTCTGCTCTCAAGTGCTGGATTTACAGGTGTGGGCCATGATTCCTGGCTCTGCAACTAAGTTTTTGAAGGAATTTTATTACCAAAAAGTCAGGTCTGGGCTTCAAAATCTTGTGATGTTTTGATTCCTAAAGTACCTGTCATACTTCAAACTGGCATCAGTCTGGAATCTGTACCAGCAGGCCCCTAAGATAGGGTCATGGAGGATAATGGTCCACAAAGAACTCGTTGAAAGCAAACTAAGGTCCACACGAGTCATGACAGAAAGCAGACCCAAAAAAGTCCAATAGGCCTAACTAAAGAACTTCATGAGAACACTTTATCTTCATTAAATCCTGCTGAATAGGTTTGAAAACTGCTGTGTCTGCAGTATTTTCCACTCTTTCTTTTTCCTAAAGAGATTTTTTTAGCATGACTATTCCATTCTTATTCCATTACTGGGGTGTGGTTTGGGGTTAGGAGGCTGGTAATATGGCCTTCCTTTCATAGGCTGCTAAATGACAAGAAGCTACAACTTGGAAGAACTATGTATTACCTAGAGATCTTGGTCTCTGATTTCAAGGCAGTAACAAGCTAGGAAATGGCAAATGGTTCTATGACACAAAACAAACAAACAAACAAAATGAGGTGTGAGGGATTTCCTTGTTGTAACTTGGATAGCTAGTGAGAAAATATGGCAAAGTGAGCTAGTTGGCTCAGGATCCATTTCTGTTTTTTTCCTTTTAATAAAATCTTCTAAAGCTCAGTAAAGACTGTCAACTAAAGACTATATTTTCCAGCTTCTCTTGCAGCTAGATAGACTATAAGATGAAATGT